AAATTATAACATTTTTAGGCCCTCTCCACCCAAATCCCGTCTCCTGGATTGTCCTACTGTCAGCAGTGTAAGAATTCTTCCCCAGTATATCACCTGCAAATAAGCCTTGCAAGACTGCTCTGTGACAAGAAGCAATTATTCCATTGCTATCAGTGGAAAGCTCTGTACTGTTAGACTTCTGTTGGTTATTTACTGTCACTGTTTCTGCTAAACATAACAAGTGTGACAAATACTCAAAGGGAATAAGATTAGAGACAGGCAAATGTAGAAATTACAAAACTATACAAGAATCTAGACATACGCAAGACTTCCCAGCGATAAGCCATACATGAACGACTTTAAACTGATCTGAGTTCTGCCTGCAGGCTAAATAAATAACTGCTGATGTGACTAGTTACTTTCGTCTCAGTGTTACAGTGTCTGGATTTCTTTATCTTCAATGGCCTGAAATCAGACTGAGAACATCACTTTCTCACATTTGCATACTTAATAGAAACAGACTGGTAAATTCACTTGTTTGAAGGATAAGAGAGATGATCATGACCTCCTGCCTGGTGCAACGTGTACAGCCTCATCCAATAACTTCCGCTTAAAGCCAAAAAGCCTGTGACCAAACTGGAGCACATTTTTCCTTCTTCGGTTTTCTTCATCATCATTTTATCAGAATTGGACTGTGTTGATTTGATGCAGAGCCTCTTTTGGAAAATATTTTTCAATAGGGCCCTTTTCATAGAGTTTATCTAGTCTCAGTTCATCCTGTTGGGAAGTGCATTTTCCCCCTATCTATCTCCCCGACCTTGCATTTTAATGTAATACATAACATCCATCAAAACATTGACATTCAATTGTATATCAGTCTCCAACTCATGGAAGGGATGATCTAGACACTTAAATAATAACCATAATCAAAACTCAGCACTTCTTGTCACAAAGTGGATGAATAAGCTCTACTTCTCCTGTGCAAGAGGACTTACAGAATGGGAAATTCTGACATATGTCATGGCACTTACAAAGTTATGGCATGATGTTTCATTCAAAATGGGATTCTTGTGAGTCTGGTATGTTCTCTGGGGCTGGGAGAACAAATAAGATGGTTGTGCTTTTTCCTTGCCATGTCCCTGATCTCTTCCCCCAGCTTTTTGGTTATTTTTAGTCTATTAGTCTAAATTAGTAATGCTACCCTGCCCTTTCGCAAGACTGACACACTCCAGAGCAACAAACATAAACAGCCTGTGGGGTCTGAGAGATTGAAAGGAGGAATCTTTCCATGGTAACATAGGTGCTGCTATATCTGAGTTTTCTAATTCTGAAGAAGTAAAGGTGCAATCTGGAAGGCAGGAACCTTGAAGCATGTCTTTGCTGAAGGTGGGAGGTCTGACTGCTGCACAGAAAAGCTCTTTATACTACTTTTAATCAATGCTGACCTGAATGTAAGCACTGACAGCCCTCCTTGGATGCTGGATACTGATGCTGGTGACCAGTCTGCTCTGAAGCTTGCCTTCTATCCTACCAGAATTTGAATAGTTCAGATTAGTTTGAGTGATTCCCCTCAGCAAGACCGTGTTGCCGTGCGAATGCTTAAGTCAGTGTCATGATTGCAAGCTCCATTATTCTGCGTCACCGGCTTTTAGCGAGGCAAGAATATGTCTATAAACTGACTAAACTGACTGATAGCAAAATGAGGCATGATGCACTGGAAATTGCACTGCAAGTTCCCTGATTCCAAAAGGAGTGGAAACTGGAAAAGCTGCTATTTCCAGTGGTGCAGACTAAGAGGGAGGGCTCTTCTAGAAAGGAGGTTTGAAAGAGAACTAGTCAGCATTTTCCAGGAAGAAGGATCCATTGAGAAAATGTGCATGCAAGTGGCTGGAGAGGTGCTTGCAGAAGAGAGAAAAGAGTGAACAAGCTGGCTATCACTGTCACAGGAGACCTAGCTATTTTGCTCCTTTTCAGCTGTTGGACAATGTTACCACACAGCTTCTACAAATTATATTGCATTCCAGTGGTGGATGGAGATTCTCTTCCCATTGATATCGAGGCGTTATTAGCAGGAGACGCGGAACTTCAGCAATTTGAGAGCCCCTGCTCTCTTAGCTACAAGAGGAAATCAGAAAAATTTGGGGGCTACTTCATGTGGTGGTGGCCATTGTCCGTTCATCAACAATATTTTTTGAGCATCCTGAGCTGCACCAGGCCCTGTGGTACAAATATATAAAATGACTGGCCATGACTGCTGACAGTACCTGCATGGGGGACATCTGTGCCTACCGTGTTACCACAAGTAGCAAGTTCGTTGAAACAAGATGCTGTCTGCAAGGAAGGGTGCTTCAGAGGAAGGGCAGCAAAGAAGAATTGTTTGAAAGCAATTCTCTCTTGATTCTTGTGGTCTGTTTTCAGGGTAACACGCAGCGAACTAATCATGCAAATCCAAACTCATGGGAAATAAGCCTTAGTTTCTTCATCTGGTGCTCTGAAACTCAGCCAAAGATCATGCAATCAATATCCCTGAGGTGTCAAAGTGCATTATTGATTTGAAGGCAATGCATATCAGAGTACTGGAGACTCCACACTGTGAAATGATTAGAAACTAGTAATTAGCTGATGAGAGAGGTATAATTTGGCTCCGAATTCTGAAGCCAGATAAAATCAGCTGATTAAAAATAACGCACTGTTAACTCAGTCCCTTGTGCAATTAAAAACTCATAGAATCTGACTGAAATAGTTGGAAAGGCTTTCTAACAGCAGGAAAAGCAGTAACCACTTTGCTCATGACAGCCATTAAAAACAAAAGTGCTCATCAACTAATAGTAGAATCAGCAAATCTTAGGAATTTCATTTCTTTAAAGACAGTACAAAGTGCTACCGCTTTTCACCCTGGGAAGCCCTCACCCACTTTGATGAAGTTTAATCTGTGGACTGGTAAAAACATGAAAGTACTGGAGCCAAACAGTATCAGGCACAAGTAAGCAGCTTATCAGAAGATTTTTTCCACATATTTTGCTTTGGAAAAATACTTCCTGCAGATGCTCTGAAATCACCTGGAGTTTTTAGGAGTTTGCTTGATTTAATTTTCAAGTCCCTGCAGTGGTCATACAGACATAATCTGAGAAGTCCCTCGCGACCAATTAGTTTCTGCAGGTGATAAGTGGCACAAGACAGCCCTATTAGATGGGTCTGTCTTTTTTGGCCAAATAGTGTGATCTGGATGTCTTTTGTGGTTGAAATTATTGGCACAATATCACATTGATTTTAATTTTGATGAATCTAGCTTTCTCAGAGGACACAGAGGTACACAACCAGCTAAAGGATGGCTCAGTGTAGCAGTGTTTTTGGGAGACTTCTGCCAATTCCGACTTTGTAGGAATGACATAAGATACTTGAGATGTTTGTAAAAACAGAAAATCACATGACAGTTTTGACCAAGTCCTGCAGTATGTGGGAGCGGGTGTGAATGGGACTCTGTTCCTGGAAATGGGAGGTCTCTTCTGCACATACGCTGGGACCCTGCTTCTGACAATACCCCACACCACAAGGCCCAGAGAAGAGCTGTATGGGGCTGTAGCACAGTACTTCTGATGGCTCTCCAGGGTCCCACACCAAAGCAGCTACCCCTATCCATCCTCTGGCAGCAGGCAGAGCTGGAGGAGGTGGAAGAGGTTGCTCAGACTAGAAAAGCTGGCTACTGTGCTAGGCTACTTTGCCTCTAAGTGCCGACAGAGAGGCTGCCATCGCACACTGTGGGCACAGACGACAAGCGGAGGCTGAATATTTCATCTATTCTGATTAGGGGCCCTGATACGATGCCAATGGGGAAATACATTTGTCAGTGCTATGAGACTGAGCAGCTGTTGACTTTGCTCACTGCTTTCAAAATCTTCTCTGAAGGCTTTTTACTTTCCAAAAAAAGAAAACAAAAGATACTGCAACCTCAACCTCTTGAAGAAGAAGACTCATTCTGAGCAAGCGCCATCAGTAATCAGTGCACAGGTTGACAGTGGGAGATCAGTTCTGCCTTAAAAATCACCTCTAGTCACAAGCTCGGTATATCAGTGGCAGCTCAGATTTTTCCCTCAGATTTTCAAACGTAACAGAAGCTCTCAGCATATCAGCTGTTTGGTGTCTCTCCAAAAACTGTACGGTCTTTGCACTTACTGACTACAGAACAGCACTTTGCAATTACAACATTTATGTAGAAATTTACTCAAACTAGCACTCAAAAAAGTCCTCGTTCTCTTTGCTTATTCAGCTCCCTGAGGAAATGAGATCAGTTGTGTACCTGTCTCCCCGGATAACTTCTAAACCTGCTGGCTAATTCCAACCAAACTAAAGGAGCCAGAGAGGTCTCAGCAAGAGTTAAAATCCTGCCTGGTTAAACAGCTGGAGAGAAGCCTTCATAGCATATCCATGAGGGAAAGGCTGCAGTGTGAGCACAGCTCTTATAAGACACTAGAAAACCTGTGCAGGGGAGAGACAACATAAACGCCAAACCACATAAAAGTTGGAATCAACGATACTTTTGTTACAAATCCAGAGATAAGGAGGTTTCTTTAATTTGCTCATGAAACTGGTCTTGCAAACTGAAAATACAATTTCACCCACTTCTTTACCTCAGAGGCACACCGCTGTTTCTTCCCAGCCCTCTTAGGAAATATAATTAATTTACATTGCAAAGACCTTGATGGTCTTTCTCTTATCATGGAAGAGTAAGTGAGATTAATACCCAGTAAGTGAGATTAATACCCAATTACTGAGCACTGAAGCTCACAGATAATTTCCATATAAAAACATTAATATTTTCTTAATTTTTAAAATGCACCTTTTATTTGATTTAGATGTTAATGCTCATTTCTTATGTAATAACAGTGAGAAGAGCTAAAGCGTGAGTCAGCGCTTACTAACTCTGCTAATAAGACAGGCCTTTTTTAGGCAAGATAGATATACTTTAACTGGTAAACAGATACATCATCATTCAGCCAATTAATCCTTTCCAAACGGTGCGAGAAGCCGTAGTTTGATGTGTAGTGAATGGAAATAAACTTGTCACGTTCTGCACATCAATTTACACATTCTTACTTCCCCACTTAAGTCAGTACAAATGCAGCCCTTTGATTCCCAGAAATAAGGCAGTCCACAAATCAACATTAGAATGAACAGGAATAGGGCTATATATAACATTAACGGATCTTAGTTCGCAATCTGTATGTGAAGTACTGTACTTAATCTGTACTTCCATGGGATTAATCTAGAACAGAATGAGACACTTCCTTCAAAAGACTATAATTTGCTTCTTTAATATGGGTACACAGAAAGTACATTAAAAGATACCTTAATAAAGTATTTTCCATGATGTTGAAAGGAGAAGACATTTCACACCGTTGCTGTGCAGTCCTGCTATCTGATCCTCAGAAAAGACACTATAAAATATCTGAGTGTTTATTAACAGGTATTAGTTTTCTATTAGAGATAATTATACATACACATGAGTGTGTGTGTGTGTGTGTATCATGTTATGCATAAAAATTCAGTCCAAAATTTATGCTCTGGTTCAGTAGATTATAAATGATAATCCAGCTAAAAACAACTGTCAAAAATACTTCAGTGCACTAGATAACATTAGACCAAAAGCACGGCTTCCATGATTTCATTCCTGACACGAATCCTTTTTCTTTCAACTTATTTCCTGTAATCCCTCAGTCTTTCACACAAAACACAGAACAGGCATAGAACTGAGAACAACCATGAACTGCAGGTTATAATTCTTATAGGGTATATCCCATTCTGAGTGTCCCGTAGTCAGCCAGGAGAATACTTAACTGGACCCATATATGAAAATCAAAGACCTAATTATTTAGCCAATTTCATCTTCTTCGGCACAGCTGGATTTCCTCTGACAGATTATCACTTCAAGTGGGGAAGAGTCAGCCTTCTGTTATGAGGTATCCTGGGGGGAAATAGGCATAGACAGAGCTCTGCGCATTACTGGCTGCTGAAACAGTCCCTTTGGATTTTGAGAAGAATTTAGAACAACCTAACAGCTTTCTGTATCTTACCTTCTCTGCACGCTGAACCCTGGCCCATAAAAGCCTCAAAACACAGAAAGGAGGATCACTTACATAGAAATGTGGCTCACTTCTTTGAGTGGAATGGACTTCTTTGAATGGACTTCTTTGAATGGACTACCTTCCATTGGGGTGACAGTGAAACTGGAGGAGAAGGAAGGAAAAAGGATACTGCTCTAAGAACAGATCAACTCTGGTTACTCTGATCACCACGGCTTCTGCATGCTTACTCCATCTTTATTAGACATCGAAATTGAGCTGATGCATGACAGTTCCTAAGGATCTTAAAACCCTTGATTTAACTTAAACTCTTAATAAATGATTTTGTTATGGCCACATTAAGAATCATGCTCAAGTCTTAGTGGGCCTCTTGAAAGATCACCTGTTTTCCTCAGGACTTGCAGGGGAAAAAAGCAATGTTTAAGTCTTTAAGCAGTCATATGTAGTCAGAGAAACTCTGCAGATAGCCAAACCTGCATTCTGAACAACCTGTTGCTGGCCAGGCAGTTGGCAGAAACTTAACAGCTGTTTCTCTGAAGTGAGGAAAAATAATGAGTGGCTAGTATAATACAAGCTATTCTGCAGCTTCATTTCCACCCTGTTTTCCCATTTTCTGTCCCCTGGGATTTTTACAATGTCTACACTGATCTCTTCTTTGTGAAAGAAATTTATTTTCATGGGGGCTCTAAGTATATCTCAAAAGGAGTACGTTTCCTAGGGACGCAATATGTATTGCTGTATTTTCCATACCTTTTAGCACAGAAGATTTATGCTTTTCAGCACAAATAGCCTGGACCATTCTTCAAAATGAGTCACCAGCTCCCCACAGATAGAACCAAGTTTGTCTGACAGCCAGCCTACCCACAGGAAAGTAGGTAATATCTTAGCTGAAAGGTGATATGCTTAGTAGTCTCCTTTCCTAAGGAATACACCTTGTGCATCATAGGCCCCTTACGGGGCTCTGAAGCTCTCCTTTGTCACCCTGATCCACATCCCCTTTTGGCAAGAGAGCTGTTCATTGCATTAACCCCTGAACAGGTAATGAAATCTGCTTGGACATTATCTTTCTGGACAGTAACACAGTGTTCAGGTCTTCTCTTCCACTAACAAACTCAAGTGCACGATTTACAGTCAAGGCAGAGACTTAGTGACTTACCTGCAAAAATTCAAAGATAGGCCATAACTAAAACCCAAAATCTGAACAATTTGGTCATGAGGACTTTTCGCTCTTTATTTGAAAAGAGTGGACTGTATTCCAATAATCAATCTATTCACATTTTACTTCACACCAGTAAAAAATTAGCAGGAACATTGCTGAGGAATCCCATCGCAGCAATTACTATATTTGGGGCAACATACACAGTGAAAGTCCTTGGCAGAGATGGCACTACTGGTGCTTCATTTCTCTTTGCACAACTGACGTTGCTGACCTCACTGAATGCAAGTTCACATAGTTGTGACACAGGAGGCCTCAAGCATTAACAGGATAAGTAGTAAAAAAACATGGATTTCATAAAATTACTCTTATTCCAGAATGAGAGTTTTATTAATTGCTTTCAGCTTCATTTTCTCCACATGTTTTTGAATCTTCTCCCTTAGCCTCTCGTCCTGGGGCTGAAAATGTCCATCTGGATGGTTGTGTGGGTCTCTGCAAGAAGTTCAGAAAATCATTTATATTTAAAATAGTCACGGGAATTACTTAGCAATGCTGATGAAAACAAAGGAGGAGACATAATTTCTCTCTTTGTTACAGTTTTAATAAATAACCTGCATATGAACTATTCCATGTGAATACAGAGGATATTCCTTTACTTACACCAAACTGGAAGGGAGGTGAAACTGTGAAAAGAACACTCACTCTCAGCTTGGCTAAAGCTTGGAAAGCTAATCACCAGATAGGTAAACCCATGCTACGTTGACTTTCTATGTTTTATCTATGAAGGAACATAGGCTCCAATGTCAAAAGAAGAAAATCCACATGAAAATTTTTTTTCTTTAAGGATAAAACACTGAAACTACTGTGGAGGAGCAATGGGGTGTCATCTAGTGAAACACACAACCTCATCAGTAACAATGAGGGAAAAGATCAGGATTTCACTGTTTGATAATACAATTTTGCTTCCCTCTTCATAAAGCCAAACAGAGGAAAGCATTCACCAAGTCTCACTGGCAGTGAAAGTAGACCAACCCAAATCCACCAGCAGATTTTCTTCTTTCCTGCGTCCTTAGTCCTTTTAGGAAACAGGGCCTCTGGACCAATTCAATATAAATATCCAGTGTCTAACACTTTCCAGGGACACCTTCTGTCTTCTAGAGCCCATTCTTAGACATAAACTTAAGCCAGCTTTTATTAGGATGGAGCTTGTGATCAGAACAGCTTCCAAAGTCCCGTTCTTAATCAGAACTACACTTTTCAAACGCATTGTTATTTTTGCTATTAGACCATAGGTTTTTTTTTCCATAAGCAGAACACAGAGACTGCTACAGAGATGTAGTCATACTTGTAGAAAACAGAGTTAGAATGGCATGAGAAAGCATATTAAGTGGCACACATATTTCCTATTATATATAACAAATGTTCCACAACTGGAGTTTAAGATCATCAGTTAAAGTAGACTCTTCAGATAGTTTAGATAGCCAAACTGGACTGAAAAGAACACTTGTAATATCAATAACTAGAGGTGTTTAATTTAGGAAAGTATTTTTAGTTTTGAAGAAAATATGTAAACTTCAAAAAGAATGACTCTTATGGTCATACAACTTGCTTACCCAGAAAAAGCACCATCCAGCCCTGTATCACTGTGGAGAAAAAGGTCACTCTTTAGTTACACAAGCTATCCCAAATCCACATGTTCTAACAAGCAGAGTGTCAGAAAATGCAAAAAGCAGCACTCAGTCAGACACATATGCTTTTTTACAGCAAATTATTTTCAATCAACGTTGTAGTAATCACAATACAGCAATCAGCGTCTTGTCAGAGAGTTCATAATGTTTAAAAGTTTAATGGCTGATAGACTTGCACAAGATTTGCACGTCAGTCCTTCCCTCTAAAATTAAAGAAAATGAGACATTCAAATCTCTTGGTGACTCTGAAAGTCTCAAGCTATTATACACATCCCAGTTAGCTAGACAGCTAAGCATCATTATGCCTACTTCAAAGAGGGGGCAACAGTTGGACAGAAAGAGTAATTCACTGGCTCAAAGCCACACAAGGTATCTGTGAAAACACAGGGTTAGAACCCAGCACCTTCTCCTATGTTCCTCTGCAATCATTTATCCTGACCATACTGCCTGCTGCTCAAGCCATTGCCCGCATTGTCCCTCTTACCAACTCATACACCTCTCTGCATCCTTCCTGCAACATTACATACCCCCAAGTTTCACACAGCGAACCTACTTTTGCTTCTGGCCCCACAGAACTGCTGGGCAGTCCTGCGCACTGTTCTGTAACCGTGGTGGTAAACATAAAACCCAACAGAAGGCCCACCTGTCCCTCAGAGCTTTCCTCATCCTCAGATGCCCTGCAAGGTTTCTCTGCTGAACTCCAAACTTGGGACACTGGCCTGACAACACTGAGAGCACCTGGCAGAACTTAGCCGTTACAGTGGTCAGTTTATAACTTCAGGGAGCAGGCAACTCTGCGTTTATGAATGCAAGTTGTTTTACATGCTGTGCTGTGTGCCTAAAACGTAACGGGCATCCATGGGGGTGTGAAGCTGGGATAGTACAATGAGTGTGACCAGTTCCTAGGAGGAACCTGAAAAAAAAAAGCATCATCCCAGGGGAAAATTTCTAAGGGCACATATTAGTAAATATCTAACCAAAAAGGACAGAAAACCCATTGGTCTAAGAACAGTGAACATCTCCGAGAGGGTAAGAAAACTACCTCAAGCACTAGATTACATTGATAAAACCAAAGTCAGAGACATTCAGGCTAGTGTGCCACGTTCACAGCTGCTTGCTGAAGCCCAGTCCATGCACTGTATTTGCAGTGCAAAATATAAGACAGGAGACTTCTGATTTGCTCAAAGTGCCAGATCTGCATGCCACTCAGCAATAAAGCCTGTAGGGCATCTCGGTATGACTCTCTACATAATTCAAAAGGAGAGGCTTGTTCCCACATTCCTTGCTATTCTTCTCTCTTAATTTCAGTAATTATAATTACCTTTCTTCTTTTACTGATTTCTCTTGGCCTTCTTCTGAGAGCACCTGTCCAACTTGTGGAAATTCAGCTCGTATCATGTCTGGAGTAAGCATCACTTTGAACTCAGTTTCATCTATCTCACTAGAAGTTGGTAAATTGAAGAACAATCAGATTTTATCCCTTTAAAAGTAAATTTTAGCCAACCAAAACAAAAGTATGTTTTACATAAGAGGGGCTTTGTGCTTTTGTCTTTGAGAATCTCTCAGAACAGGTTTAGACACATCCATGCAAGTGGTTAACACTTAATAAATCACACTGAATACATAATAGAGGAAAAACTTACTAGTCATTTATATTTTCCCTGTCTCTCTCAGGTAAGTCATCCAGCATTGGTGGTACATCTCTCGGAAGCATATCCAAACTGTAAGGATCCCTGTGGTGGAAAGGGCATTTGTTTAAGATGGGCAGAGAGTAACTGCACACAGCAGTTACATTTTGAAACTTCACGGTAATTGTAGTTACAGAAGTTAAAGAAGATGTTTTTTTGAATATTCCAGGAAAATCTGAGTATACCAGAACCTACTGTGATATGAGGGAAGGTGAGCATGAGAGATGCTGGCTACCATTGTGTGAAGATGCTCCATATGCTACAGGTTTTAGTGTTCATACTTCTGCAAGACAGACTGGGCTTGTACTTCCCAGAATCTTCCGGGAGGGAATCAAAAAAGCACTCAGAGCAGATGTTTTTGAAAGTCCTCACCGAAGCTCCAATTGCAGGGCTAGATATTTCCTCTAATTATATTGATTTTTAACCTTTCCTCCAAAGAGGTCAGTAGGTATTTTCTACATTTGTTTAGGATTTCTGAGCAGCAATTTAGTACACCCATAGCCACATTTATATCTGTGGGACTTGCTACTACTCAGTGCAGTTACAGACAGTAGAAGCTGGTGCAGGACAGAGGCAGTGTATATTCAGATTCTTTCTTACCTTGATGTTGTTGTACTTGTCAATGTGGGAGCATTAGAAAAGGTGGAATACACCACCGGTAAGAATCTTCTCCAGCTCATTACACCACGAATCACTTCCTGAAATGACAAGTGCTACAGCAGTCAGACCTCTAATACATAATGCAGTGGGGAGAGAGGCTTGCCTCTAATATATAATGCAGTGGGGGGAGAGGCTTGTAGGACAGAGTGAGTTTGAGGAGCTGCAGTTCTCCATATCTAAAAGATGCTTCTCCACTGCAAGGTCATGAAAATATAGCAGAAAGTGAAAAGAAGTAAAGAGCAGAGAAGTACGCAGGGATAAATAAGGGATATGGAGAAAGTCTAACAAGAAAAAGTTATTCTAATCCACTTATTGACTATTTGGGGGCATGCATAATTTATATTTGAGAATGTTTTCTACTTAGGATGATGGCTCATCTGTCTTTTGGATTCCTTGGAACAATTCTCAGGAAAAACACATTCAAGGCAAGTACTCATACAATAAACCCAGCAGGCCATACCGTGTGATGCAGAAATTTCTTCTGTGTGATTGGAATGCTGGATCCTTTGGGGCATTCCTTGGTAAAGGTGTATTTTGGATGAGGACAAAGATGATATTCAATATTTGTTTCAGAATATGGCAAAGGAGGTAAAACTGGAAATAATCCTGGAGTGGGGTTCTGAAAACAAAGAAGAGATTATTTAAAAAAAAAAAAAATCATTCTGAGCATCACAAAGAATTGAATCAATGAAAATTCAATTCTTACAATTAACTCACTCACTCCAAACTCACATCTTTATCCCATTGCGACTCTCCTGTTCAGTGTGACACCTGATCCGCCTTCTTCTCCCCACATCACAGACCCATAGTCTGCCTGGTTCATCCACCTTCTCTGCTGTCTAACATACAGCAATTCAGATGTTGTTCCCAAGTTTGGGAGAAAAATACTATTGCCTGAAGCTTCCAAAATCCATTGTTGGTTCTCTGAACAGTCCAGAATCCATGAAAAGGCACTGGCCTTGCTGTGGCAGAAGCTACTGAGCATTTTGCCATTGATTTCACTGCACTAGCATCTGCTCTTGAACTCAGTCTGATGCTGGGTACTGTGGGATCAAGCTGTGCCTGGCTCTTACACTGACACGACACAGGGATGAAGGAGAAGCACGGAGGTTCTCATCAGTAAGCTCACTAGAGTCCTAGCCACAAGCAGGGGGAACAAATCTATACTGCATATGTTATGCCAAGATCTCTGAGCTAGCACACACTGGGCTCTGACCTCTCCTCCATTTGAGCAAACAAGTTATGCTGAAAAATAGAGCTATCCAGCTGAGGTGCAGTGCCACGCTGGCATGGAGATGCTGCCTGCACCCCAACACTGCACTGCACTGAGCTGTACAGCTGTCTCTGCCTGCTCAGAGTTACCTCTGCACTGTGTTGTCATGCTGTACTGTGTGGGAAACACCTTTTGCAGTTGATACCAAGTAGCACAATCCGCATGAAAATCAAGTCACTGAAAATCCTCCCATGCCCCTGATTACAACTTTTCGAATCTATATGCCTAAAAAGTTGGAAATGCTACTTTAAGACGCTATGAGAACTATCAGAAATTCTAAGGCAGTTGGATGCATGCAAGCATAGAGCTTGACTTCATTTTTCTCTTCCTTTCTGCCTAAGAATCAAGCAGAACTGCAGTCCCCTTGTTGAACAGAAGGAAAAGACTACACCAGTCCTACCTATTTGGGCAAGGTTACAGATGGACCGAAGAGAACTGCACTCCAATTCCATATCGGGCCTCTGATGAAACAAACACCCTTTCCCCTCCTTTCTTAGGTTCTTTGTGGAAGCAAACTTCTACTCACAAAAATACGAAGTGGGCTGCTCTCAGGGTGGTGGACTAAAGCTTGGGGAGGAACCAATTTTAATAGGCTGATGTCCCTTTCTGCTACTTCTTCTGAAGATTGTGTGTGAAAATCCATCTTCTGGGAGGTCAAGTTAAGCTGTCTCTCAGGAGAAGCAACTACCTGAATCAATTCATCCTTGAAAAACACAGACATCAATAGATTTCAGAGTGCAGTTAGCCTTTTGGTAAATGTGCTGAAATAAAATTAATCAAATAATTGTAGAAGCATAGGGCTGGGAATGACTTCAGCAAAGGAAGTTTGTATTTGAGATGACTTGTTACCTGGGCTCCCTGCTTCAGCGGTCGGGAAAGTTTTTGGGGTTTGTAACTTGTGGCTGCATGGTGTGTACAAAACGGCTGGTACCTCATAATGCTGAAATGCTGAGGAACCTAGTTGCAAAGGAAAAAGATGTACTGCAGGACATGACAACAATCACTTCTGATTAACTCATGGAGGGGAACCTTCCAGCTTAAGCATGGGCCTGTCACATCTCTGTGGTATTAGATACTTGGATCACTATTCAGGAAGATAGTATGTGATCAAAACTTTTGAGGAGCAATACTTCACCGTTACAACTTGAATGAGCATGTAAAGGAGTATATCCATTCTTGCTTTTTTATGAAAGACCACAGATTTAATAGTTTCTTGATCAAACACATTGAACTCAATGGGGTAGAGAAAAACTATGTTTAGCAAAACACCTAACACTGATACATGAAGCAAAGTTTAACAAGGAGAAAAGACATTAACAGAAAGTTTCTGTACCGGAAAAAAGAAAAAGAGGAAACTGAGCTAAAACCTGGATCACTGTGAACCTCAGGAAATTCTTTCACTTTGATGAGATGCAGAATTTGATCTTCTGCTATTCAAAAATTTGAGAGAAAAAGGATTAAAATTCAGAAGTAAAAAACTGTTTCTGTATTCATAAAGTTGAAAAAATGATAC